GCTTGTTAAAGTGGTTGCGTTTGTGTGATCGTGTTTGTCTGTGTGAGTGTGTGTTTGTGTTTGTTTGCGAATTTCTGTGTGTGTGTGTGTGTTTGTGTGTGTGTATGTTTGTGTGCGTGTTTCTGTGTGTGTGTTTGCGTGAGTGTTTGTGTTTAGGTGTCTGCTTGTGTGTGTGTGTGTGTTGCGTGCTTGTGTGTCGTGTGTGTGTGTGTGTATGTGTCTTTTTGTGGGTGTTCGTGTGTAGTTGTGTGTGTGTGTGCTTGTAGTTGTGTGTGTGTGTGTGGGTTTGTGTGTGGTTGTGTGTGTGTGTGTCTGTTTGTGTGTTTGTGTGTGTGTGTGTTTGTGTGTGTGTGTGCGTGTGTGACTGTGGGGGGGGGGGACCCTATGTTCATGTGTGTATATATATATATATATGTTTGCGCATCACATATATATATATATATACATGTATACGTGCATAATTACTGCACGACATGTATGCAGCAAGCTCTCACCTGCCATAGCTTCAATACCAGCAGCTTTCGGACGCTGCGTGCCTGGCAATGAACACACTCATGAGTAGCGATTGCAGCTGGTTGAAGATGCTCAGCCACACCCTCGGCAGGTTTAAATATGGCGTCTCCGTAGAGCGACGTTGTTCTCGTTGTCTCGCTATGCGAGGCGCCCTCTCTCTCTGAGAGCGCTTGCCAAGTCGAGCTAGAATCCCGGAGTTGACCCGCATTTGACCGCATGCCCGGATTGTTTTCGGCCGATTGCATACGTGACACGACCGAACACCTACCTGTTTCAAGCATATTGAACAACAACATTGACAACAAACCACACCATATGACCAGCTTTGATTTCTGCTCAACTCTGCATGACTAACTAAACCTCATGATATGGAGTGCCAAACCAGAAACAAGTCCTCCAAAGAGTGTAAAGCCTGTGTACACGTCAGCTCCCAAAACCCTGGACTCAAGATTGTTGGCGCAGTGACATCCTGCCGCATGAAGCCACAGGGGGCCACAGCATCAACGGCTGCCCTGCTAAGGCGTAAGGGTATATTACATACCCCATTCTCAGCGGGGGGCCCTGCACACCTAACATGGAACCCACCAGAGGGTCCCTTCAAAAGGAAAGTAGTCTTCCAGGATCCCTCAGTCAGGTTCCATGTGAATTAGTGGACAGGAGGGTAAACTTCAAACCATACCGTTGCAGGGTTGATGCGGAAGATATCGCCGAGTGGTGTACCCCCCCCATTTGGGCTCCATTGACCTCCATTGTCACAACCAAATAATATGTTGAGTCTGGTTTACTTGAACCTTCAAGTGTCAAATCATTTCAACGAGATCCAACTTTACTGGTCTATTTTGCTACTAAAAGTCAACCCAGTGGTACGTTGAAGAGAGCTGACTTTGATACCCAGCCAAAATTATGGCAGTGCATTGCCAATACCCTGCAGGTTCTAATAGGCCAGGTGGCTGCAAAATGGGTCCGTGCTTCCTTTTGAGATTACCCACCATAGGGTTGGTTTGAAGGGAAATTGAGGACCCCACAGGCTTCGTTAGGATCAGCAGCAGGTCGAACTGCATAGCGCTGGCAGCTGCCTTGTGCGTGGACACATAATCTGTGACGCAACATCTGGATTGGTCAGAACAAGTCCCTGGCCTTTTAGTTTGTGGTGAGCAACAATATGCAACAATAAGTTAACATACCCGACCAATGGGTCCAACCAGGAAATGGATGGGCCTGAGTTAGGTTCCATCTGCTAACTGATTGTTAACTCCAGTTAAATTAGACTCCCAAAAAGTTTGAAGTTCAGAGGCTGGGGAAGTGAGTATTGTTGTGGGAGGAAACTGGTTGAAGGCCAAATCTGTTCCTGGGTGGACTGCGGGATGTGCTTACGGAGACGCCCATGCTCCTGGTGTGTCTTCAGGGCACCAACTGAAAGCGCCTCAATACACATGCTGTTTTGAGGCTTGAGGGCACCCTCTTTAGAATGGCCAGGGCAAACGACAAAGAAGCGGGCCTTTTGTAACAGAGGCAAGTCGGAAAAGCAATCACGGTCATCCCTAGCACGTTCCAAAACAAAATGCAACCATTCAACAGTAATGTCAGGTTCCTCAAAGGGGTTCAAATACTATGAAGTTCTGCTAAAAATCATCGGCCCCTCGCCACCCAAAAAAAGAAGGCCGTCAATATATTTTGGCTGGACAAGAGTCTCCCCAGAATCTTCACCAAGCCTGCCTTTTGCCCGCCAGGAAATGTGACCCTGTTTTCTGCAACCCCGTGTTGCGAATTATGATTTGTATTTGATTACTTCTAAAATCCAAGAACCCAGAAACATTCTCACCCCCAAACTGCACATGAGGTATGCAAGCCTTCTTGAAAAGAGCTTGGCCAACAAAATTCCAAGGAGTGCAGTCCAGGCCCAGATCCCCGGAAAAACCAATAACAATCGAACACGGGTACTTAATTAACGAAAGAAAATATCCACCAAGCAAACACTGAACCAATAGTATACCAGCGCTACTTGAGCGCAGCACTAGGCAATACTAAGCCATTGCAAAGCGGTGAGGACCGAAGAGGACTCAACCGGAGACCGAAGAAGATCGAAGGCCGAAGAGGACCGATACTGAACTAGCACAAAGCGGAGGTCCTCCAGTAGAGAGGTTAGAATAAGGGTACCATTTTTTCTGTAGTCTATTTTAGTAGAGGAACCCTCCCCAAAAAAAGGGTAAAAGGGCACTACTGGGGGACCTAGAAGCAACACTAAACCAATACGAACCTAATACTACCTCTGGCCCCCACACCGCTTTTTTGAAGGAGGGCCTTTGCTCAGTGACCCACATTACGGCACGGAATTGAACGTACAGGCCCTTTCTGATTGTTGGTTCCCAAGGCTTCCCTACGTATCCTCTTGACATATTAAGCCACCGGAAGCAAACTCAACAACAAACTGGGCAACAGGTGATGCCCAAATCAACAGGGGAAACACGGTACCGTGGGGGTGTCCCTGGTTTTATCACTTTTGGAGGGGAACACCCCCATATCAATAAACAGTGGTTTATTAATCCGGGGTCAATATTATCCCTGTTCGCAACTCGGCTTTCTTTAAAACCAACCTGCTGCAGCCATGCTCGGAGACAGCGCTGCTTGCATGCTCCACAAGTGGGAATCACTGGGACCAGTTCAGTCCCAGCCTTGCACAAATGCGGCAACCTCTAGGGATATTCAATTCAATACGCCACAAGGATCTAAAGAACCACACGGGGATGTGCTGAGCATCATTCACATGGTTGGATCTACTGCAACAATCATGCTTGAGAGTGTTTGCGTCAAAAACACATAGGACATGGCTATGTGTCAAAAAAAGGCGTACCCCAAAACTGGTGGTTTTAGGTTCCTTTTGGTTTCCCTTTAGACCAAGCTTTAAAAGGGGTATCCTCAAAAAACAGGCGAGCCCAAATGAAGCTGAACCTCTTTCGCAGCGCCTGGCGGGCTTTCACCTGCTCCTTGTGGGACCAGGATACCGCAGCCCATAGGCCTAGAGCCAAACTACGTGACAGACGTTGGGAAAGGCCATTGTGGGAAGCCCTCACGCACGCAAAAAGGTGCCATTCAAGAGAAGGACCCAGACTTTGGCTCCAGAATATAAGGGAAAGCAACGGGGGGGAAACAGTTCACTTTGACAAATGTTTGGAGTTACATGTACTATCGGGGAGAAGATCTGGTACAACTGAAATGCATGGCAACTGCGATTTGCCTCAAGTGGTACGCAGAAGAGGCATGCAAGAGTCCTTCAGCAACCAAGAACCAAGGACCAAGGCTTGAATCTTGGCTGGTCAACTGGGCGCCAATGGGTTGAAGCTCAAAAATAAGGTCGGCACCTATCGTAAGTGTGGGCTTGCGATTCCATCGCCCGGAATCAAAAGCCATGGCGTTGACTACCGGGAGCTCCTTCCATGTCATGCAACATCGCCTAGGCAAGAAGCTTTCTTGAATTGGCCAAACCTGATGCGTTAACTTGCACAAAGGCTCAGGGCAATATCTCTGCACGAATAGCAAGCTGAATCAAAGAAACGCCATATAAGATGGTCGGCAGCACATGTGTACGTCAAGGATGACCTCCAACAACAAGGCCCTTTCTCAAAATACATCCGTTTCTCAAGAAGACTGTACGTTGTTTTGCTCACAGGGCTCGAAAACAAAGCACATATAGGCTATAATAACAATCTAGGCAGGTGGACAAACCTCCTCATGCCATTTTGCCCTGTAGCTATATGGCATGTGTCGGAGCCGTGGGTTTGTTCCTGAACCATGGAATCGATCGATCATGGAAGGTACCCTGCAAACTTTGCAGTACCCGTCCCCTTTTGGTGTCCATTGAGCAAAGTCTAGCGCCAACCGTCCTGAGCGCCGGATTTTTGGGGAAGTTTTTCTCCACCCATTTCAGGTTCGTTCGTTGGGGCTCGTGCGGTTCAAAGTAATCTTGGTTGAACGGCTGCTCATGTCGATGCAAATTTCAATGAACCCATCTTATTAAGGGTATTCCTCGACGAGTCATTGTGATAGTCATAGCTGTTTAGGTGTTTGGCAAAATAGGTAGACCCCAAAATGGTGGGCTTTCCTGGCAAGTTCCCTTTAAACCACCCCCAGAAACGGGTGGTCCCAATTTCGATGACGATCCTGAACGGAAGACAATGGTTATATGAACCCAAACCATGGTTTTAAGTGTCTTAATCATGATAGCTGAATGGTTTTAATGGTTTCACTGGTATCCGAATCCCGTCCCGTGTCCATCCCTTGCTACGTGCCAAACCCCGCATGGCCTTCTGGAACCGGCTTTGGCTTCAGCTGGCCATTGGCGGCCACTGGGCCCTCCTCGCTCGCGGCGGCAGCTGCCGGGGCCTCGGGGAGAAGTTGAAGGCTGAAGCTGTTCGGGTATGAATATTAATAGGGGACCCGAAATGCTGGACTTATTTGGGGGATTCATGTGCACCAATTACTTTTCAGGTGGTTCCCTATTGAAATCATCATGGCCATTTAGCTGGTTGATGGTTGGCGATGTGTGGATCTTGAGTTTCTTGCTCGGATGCTATAGTGATTTGTTGGTTCGGTCGGTGGGTTGTGTCCTTCAATTGTTGCTACCCCGAAAAGGGTACCGTCGCCTCCAAAAAACGATACCCCCCAAAATGACCCCTCCGTTTGGATTCCCCCTGCGCCTCTCCGGAGAGCAGCGCCTTGTTGCGGGCCTCCTTCTCCTGCGAGCGAGCCCGACGCGCACAAAACCTTTAGAGGAACAACTCCTGTGAAGAGCAAATCTTTGGAAGGCAAACACAAAAACAACCACCACATCCCACAAATGCGGATGCCATCAAATGCGGATTCGAGCGCAGGCCTCCTCGGATTCCTTCTTCTTCCGCTGCCGCAGGCCCTTTGGAAGCTCCTTCGCATCGCAAGACTGACTTAGGTCAGGGGAACGCAGGTTTTACTCCACGCTTCCATTTGCCAGGGTTCCCTTTTGGGAGCCTTTTTTGACCCACTTGAGTATCCTATAGAGTGCCTTGGTGATCGCAGGACACTTGCCAGGACTCCAGGATCCCCTCTGGGGTGTGGATTTGAAGCTGGGGTAGGCAAACCTATTCTGCGAATCTCAAGTTCCACCTGCAAGGCGAGTAGTAGGCGTCTGCAAATTCTGAAAATTCCGAAACCTGAAATCAGACTTGGATCAGCTCGGCTTACTCCAAAAGTCGGCGAATGGATCCTAGGCCCTCTAGAGAGGTTAGAACAAGGGTACCCTTTTTCTGTAGTCTATTTCAGTAGGGAAACCCTCCCAACCAAAAAAATGGTTAAAAAGGGCACCTCGCTGGAGGATCATTCCTTCCAGAAAGCCAAAAACGTGGGGGAAGTGGCTGGTTTTTGAGAAAAGAAGGATGGCTGAAAAGAATGGACAAGGAATCAACCCCTAGAGTGTTTCTTTGTCGCAACCTGGCAACCATCTTGGGCCGAGCTGCCACTTGGAACTTGGTAAGCAGGAATATACCAAGGAAGAAGCAAAGAACATACCAGGAATCAACCCCTAGAACATCGCCTTGTCCGCCGTCAGCTTGACGTTGGCCGTGCTGGGAGCCTCCGCCTTGGCCGCGGTGGCCGCGTCCGCCGCGTCCGCCGCTTCGCCTCCGTGCGTCTGGAGTCCGGAGCGGGGGGGGGAAGGAGGAGGCACTCTGAAGACAGGTGGGCGTGTCGCAAAAAGGGGGTTCTGTGTGGTTCCCTCAAAACACAAGGGAAGGAAGTACCCCCTCAAAAACATAACCCAAGTTTGAACCGCTTACGATGAATCAAGGCCCTGTGGGACGTGACCCCTACGCCAGCAAGAATCCCCTGATCCAAAACAAAGTGTCACATCGCCTGGCGAGCAGGCGATTAAGGCGGGCTCCGATGACTTGGTTCGGGTTTGAATCCGCCGACTCCATGGCAATGACTCACAGCCCGTATGTCCGGGTCCCACTTGAAGACATGTGAAGCCGGAGCTAGTCAAACTGCCAACTCTGGTTGGATCAAAAGAAGAGCGGTTTTGCAGTTGCTGTTGATCGCCCCGGAAATGGCATGCATGTCCAAGCAATGACAGGGCCCTCCCCCTGATTCATCTACAAAGGTCTTCCCAAAATGCTAAATCTGAAGCCGGCACCAGCAGCATTGTGGTTGGCATCAATGATTCAACTCAAGGGCCAGCCGACAAACTGCTCTCGAGAGCACGACATGCCGCGAATAACAGAAAGCAAAGCGAAAGACAACTGCGGTCTGACAGAGGAAGACTCTTGCCGATCACATTCCTGGTCCAGTTTAGCGATACCCTTTGCAAGACAGGTGCATGCACATGACACTGTATTTCTGCCGTGGAATTTCGGTGCTCGGAAATTGCCGCGTTGACGGATTCTTGGGCCCGAGACGGGGGGAACCCCATTTGGACTACCGTCGCGGAACTCCCCTGCTGCAAACAAAATCCCCCAGTTGGTTTCTTACTGGGGGGAGCATTTTTTTTGTATGGGGAAGGATTCTTGAGAGCAAGACATCCTCAAACAAAACCCTTCTGAATGGTGCCACGTTCCAGGTAGCCACCCACCAGGGACCCAATAGCCCAAACTGAGCGCCACGCTGGTTCCAGCAGCCGCTGGTGCCTCCTCCTCCGACCTTCCACAAGTCGGCTGCAAACGAGCGCAAAAAAAACTGAAGGGGTCGTATTAGTACGTTCTACATGGCCCAGCCCTTTCTTCAACCACCATTGGAAAGTAGTCTTCCAAAACCCTCCTGGATTTGGATAGAGGATTTCCCCACCATTGGAAAGTAGTCTTCCAAAACCCTCCTGCCAGCTGATTGGAGGAAGGGTACTGTCTTGCAAGGGGGGTCATTCACATAATCCAGTTCGCACCGATTGGCAGGCGGGGTACAGCATGCTGGGAGGGTCATCCATCCGCAACAGGATTGTGTCCAGCCAAAGTATAACCTGCAATGCAGGGAGCTTGAAGGGAGAAGGTCGCCAACTCTACCCAGACAATCCATGTATAGGTATTATACCCACATCTACTCTCCAAATGGGTCCAATGTTGGTATACATGAATACTAGCTACATGGATTCTCTTTGGTAACACCCTTGGTAAGGTAAGTTGTTCCAAGAACAAGGGGCACTGACACGCACAAGCGGCCACATGGCGGTGGGATCGCCGAGGTTGGGCTCTAAGGCTCACGTTCCTGCAAAAGAGCTGGACCTTTCAGATTTGTTTTGTGTCCTGAGATCATACTGGGGAATTCCCTCAATTTTTGGATGCCAGACAACCTCAGCGATTCAGAGCATAGGCAGTCGTGCGAGACACACATCCCTAAACCTGGCTTCTCCGCACTGGAAAACCCACTTCAAACAAAAATGCCGCAATTCACAGAGAGAAAAATCTGATTCCCCAGGCAAGATACCTTGGTGGGCAAGCTCGTGTTTATGGTTTGTTCAGACACGGACAGCGAACATGTGAGGTGTCCGAAAATCTGAGATCGATCCCTTTTTGCGGCTTGGAAATGGCAAGGGGTGACCGGACTGAGCCGGTCTTTGGATTTGGCAATGGTTGAAGTTGTTTGACTTTGGCCAAACCTCGTTCACAGTTCCGTAAACCATCTCATGTTGGCTTCCCTTCAAAAATGACCAGGCATGCGGCATAGGGTCTGGTTCAAACACAAAAAACACCCAACCGGTACGTTTGGAACCTCTCCTGCGAGAAAACGAGCAAAACAAAACCAGAACCTCTCGCGAACGACATGAGGCCGCGGCAAAACCTCAATTGAAATGGGCTGCACATGTGTTTTCTTATCGGTTTTGCGTCAAAGTTTATCGTTTTACACATTAGATGTATGTTCAACCATATCGTTCTTTTTTGCACCTTATCGTTTTACCGGGGTTCGCGCATTTTTGGACAACTGCGCGCATCAGCTCTCATGGTGGCCTCAAAGGCTTTCTTCGTCGGACTCACGAGCAGCAAGCTCCTTGCATGCTTTTCGTTTGCGCTTGCTTGCTTCAATTTGTTTGGCTAGCCTGCGCTCATCAACTGCAATAATGTGTCCCAACGTAGCCTCCTCCACAAACTGGGCAGGCTCCGGTGCGGGCAGCGCCGCGGAAGCAGTCTTCTCTGACTCCAGGGCAACGTCCTCTGTCAGCGCGCTGGCGTCCGCCTTGGAGGCCTGCAGCCCCGAGATGGAGGCGTCTCGACTCGCAAGCTTGGAGGCCAGCGCCGCGGCGGTGACGGCCCCCAGGAGAGCGTTGGCCACCTTGGTGTCTACCTCCAGTCCAAGACATGTTCCAACGTAAAAGACAAGTATGCTGTCCATGGCCGGGAGACATCAAAGGGAAAGCTAGGGTAGAGTGGCTAAGTTCCTCTCAATGGGCAACTCCTCACGGGTATGGGTTCTGTCAAAAAGTGTTATCGTTTTTGTTATCGTTTTGTTATCGTTTTCAGCGTCGTGACTCGGAAGCCTCTCCCGGGTTTCAATGCTCCAAGCCATGGTTGTGAATAGGAAGGACGGAAAGGGAGCAAACAAGATTGAGCAAAATGCTAGCAATACGTGCATTCCATGCTCCAAACCTTATCGTTTTCCAGCACAAACAACACGGAAACGCCCAAAAACCTTATCGTTTTTATTTGCACCTTATCGTTTTACCGGGCTTCGTGATTGTCCAACACAATGTGCGCGACTCTTACATCCCGCAAGCACGAGAGTATTGCCAGTACCTCACATGCTGGCCGTTGCCCGTGCCGTATGGCCCCGCCTGGCATCGGCGGCCAGGGACTTTGCGAAGGCCACGATGCGCATCTCGGATCTCATTCCAATCCACCCATTGGCTATGGGTCAAAACCCCGGTTCGCCCCCAGTGAACATCAACCAATCCCCACTGAAATTCACAAAAATTGACTGAAATGGGTGGTGAATTCACCTACCCCAAAATGGTACCATTGGTGTTGACCCACGGCCATCTCACTTCCCGAGTGGTGGATGGCTAGAAGTTGGCACCCACTTTTTTCGGTGGTCTGTTTTAGGGGAGCCCTCCCAAAAACAAGGGTAAAACGGCACTGGGCCCAGAATTTGTGCTTCTCAAGTCCAGGAACTCAGGAGAGATGTTGGGTCTCTTTCGATCGAGTGGACTGGCCAAAAAAGCCTCGACACACCGTGCTGGCAGCTCCATGTGTCTTTTTTTTGTTTTTTCTTTTTTGTTTTTTTGTTTTTTACATGTGTTTTTGTTTTTTACAAGTTGATGGTTCAGGAACTTAGAGAGTGTGATTGGTCTCCGCACAATTGAATCACAAATCCCATCCCAATGAGCAGGCCAATTGAGTTGGGCTGACGGCTGATCAGTGTAAAATACGTTGCCTGTGTGGGTCAGTGCTTAATCCCCTGCAGAAAGTTAAACTCGGCCGGCTGGAAAGACTTTCCCCCTTGCGAAGATCTAATGGTAACAAGGTCAAATGCAAAAGAACAGAGATGTCATTTGGCCACACAGTTTGAGCGCGGGTCCCCATCTCCCCAGTGCTGCAAGGAGCTGTGGCCACTGCAAGTGTGGTCGTCCTTGGAACTACAAGTAGTGCTGTACATTTGCATTTCGTTCATGTACCTCTACGCACACTTGTTGCACAATTATGAACATATACATGTTTTTTACACGTATTTGCATGCATGCGTGGATGCAACTCGGGGGGTCCCCAAAGCATCCACGGGGTTTCGTGGGTACCACCTGCATGCCTCCTTTTGGGGTCCCCGGGCCGAATCTCGGCATGGGTCACTGAGCCGCTGGCCACCGGTAAGCACAAAAAGTTCACCACGGTTGGGAACTGGCAGCGAGCGACGTCGCCACCCTCCAGTGAATTTCTGTCATAGGTGGCCTTGTGCAAAAAATCGATGGGTTTCCCTGGCAAATGGATGGCAAAACCAATCTAAACCAGTGGAATGTCTTATCAATCTAACCTAAAAAGGACACCTATGACCATCTTGGTACATGTAGGGTGAAAGTAGATGCCACCATTTCCTTGGGAAAAAGAAACGACGAAGCAAACATGGGGAATCCTGCAATCTATTCTAACTGTAGAAATATGGTACCTAGGAAACAAAACGCTTCGTCCTTACTGTCGAAACTTCGCGAGCCGCGCCTTAAGCCTGCAAGACTGGGCTCGCAACCAAGGGCATGGTACATTTTACTGGTGACTCAAAGAAACTCGGCTTTCTTGAGCGTGTTATAGTCAATGTTCCGGCTAGCTCCTCCAGCAGTAGGGAGGTTAGAATAAGGGTAACCATTTGTTTTCTGTAGTCTATTTTAGTAGGGGAACCCTCCCAACAAAAACGGGGTAAAAGGGCACTACGGAGGGACCTAGCTGGTGATACGTCTTGTTGCTTGTGAGGCCTGACCCCATGTCAAAGTTTGCGTTCCACGCAATGTCCACTCGGGCCAGTTCAAGTTTGGATGAAACAGCTCGGGTTTGTCACAGAGTGTTCATCAGATTTCCCTTCAAAACCGCCCTTAGAGGGTAGTAAGTAAACACATACTTGAAGGATAGGCAAGTTGCAAACAAGACAAGCCGAAGTAAAAAAGACTGAAATCCTGCCCCGTCTCACAAAACAAATATTTAGAGGGATGTAAGATTGCGAGCAACAAGGTGCAGGAGGTGGGGGCTCAGCACGACGCACGAAAACAACTGTAAGGTGACTCTAGGTGAGCACCTGCAGTGTATGGCTCTAGGGGATTGGGACCAACACAAAAAGGCCTAGCAAATGCAACTCACTCCCCGGACAACTGGGAGAACCAGCAGCCGGAGCCTGGAAGCTACACTGCAAGCACCAATAGAGTTCCGATGCTCCTGGTACTCCCAGGTTCCTTAAACTAACGGAGGCTCCGGGGTATGAGATGCGGTTGGGGATATTCATAAAAATGTTTGGAAAAGGGTATCTAGAATGGGTGTATCTCCTCCTCCTCCTCCTGCTCCTGCTCCTCTTCCTCTTCTTTTTTTCTATATCCTGCGAACCCTTGCTTTCCTAGACAGTCCAACTGCTTTCCCGACCCTGAATCTGGATGTCCCTCGGTCAAACCAGGCCTTCCTACAACTTTGGGCCCAGTGGCCGCAGCCGTGCTTAACGTAAAGCTTTTGAGCCTGGATATGAGACATGGAGTGACCCCAAGGAAAAACCATCGCCTATGGCAACCGGTTAAGGGAATCCCCCAAAACCGGTTCAGTCCCAACACCCACAAGGTCGTTCCCTACCTTCCGCACCAGCAAGAAGATTGTCTTCAATAGTTGTAGGTCTATCAAACCAGGTGCTTGCACGGGTGCTTGTATTTGTGACATGCTAACGCCTGTCGAAGAGTTTGGGTCAACCCATGTTTGAAAACTATCCAACAGTTCCCACATTTGATCTATTTTGATCTCATGCAAGCAGCATCCCAGTAAAGGAAGCTTGCTTTACATTTGCAACTGATCGATGCTGTTAACAGCCAGCCCTTTCAGTAAAAATAGAGCTGAAGCTCTCCTGTCCTATTGCTTGCCTTGGACACACGTTGCAGCCTTTGAACTTCATGTGCGGCTTGGCGTCTCACATAGGCTTAGTATCATGGATAATTCCGGATCACCTCTCACATGCTCGAACTTACCACATATTGCCTTGCTGGTGATCTAGACTGGTTCAAGCTGCTCAGCTGCAGCTGAGCTTTGGTAGCGATCTTGCCTCCGCCGCTGCATCCTGCAGAAAGCATTCCGAAGAAAGCCGTCTTGCGACTGACGCTCTTCTTGCCTCTGCTCAATGAGCACTTCCGTAGAGCTGTGCTTACCAAGCACTTGTTTGACTTCCTTGTGCAACTCCTTCAACGCGGTGACCGTTGCAGACTGTATGGCTTCACCCTTTCCCGTCTTCAGCCCAGCCAGCGACCTACGCCCTTCAAGGCTCTTGACAATGCTGAGCTCTCCAGGAGGCCTTGTAAAACTTTTCTATGGGCTTGGCACAGGAGCTCCTCCTAGCAGCCGTTCAGAAATAAAAATTTTAAAAATGGGCTTGGACATCACCTTTTATATGGGCTATGTAGGAATGCGCAGAGTTTTTGTTGGGAAAAGCTTACGGCAAAAGTTGCAGCGGCAGCACCCACTAGCTCACTAGCTGCTGCAGCTCCAGGGGCCCAAGGCCTAAGGCCTGAAATGAGCTTCGATTCAAACACTGGAACCCTGGATACATTCGCCATAACAGGCCATATGTATATATATATATGTATATATATATATATATTTATATATATATATATATGTGATACACATACATACCATAATGCTCCACGGAAACATCTGTATGGAACTCAAAAGGGTCCAAAAAGCAGAATCTCTACCAATCATTCTATCTTCGTTCTTTAGGTTTCATGTTGATTTACAGGAAGCCGCCTCGAGGTGCTCAATCCGTGGCAGGAGGGCCGGGCCGATGACCACCGTGGTCACAAAGGCTAAGCCAAACCGGAGCAGCCCGAGGCGCCACAAGTACCTCGATCCATTCGCGGAATGTGGTGGAATGAACCGGAAGGGGATGCCCGAAGAAAGGAAGCCACCAGGGATGTGTGTTTTTTTCTTGTTTTTTCAGTTTTTTTTTTTATGTTTTCTTCTTTTAATAAGGGGCATCCCAATGATCATTCCCGAGCACCTGCAAGCTGAAACTATTTGACTGCTTGTATACTCAACCAACTCTGAAGCTGATGCCTTCATGTTTATAGGTGGGGTAATATGGAGTTGGTCCCCCTACACTCATGACATTTGACACAAATGGGACATCCTCGACACCCAGTTGTGTGCCAACCATTTTGGGAGAATCTCCTTGCGACAACCCCAGTGCCATGCCAATGCCCAAAAAAACGGTGCTTGGTATGGACCCTTTGTGACTAGCTCCTCCAGTAGAGAGGTTAGAATAAGGGTACCCATTTTTTTGTAGTCTATTTTTGTAGGGGAACCCTCCCCAAAAAAAGGGTAAAAGGGCACTACGGGGGGACCTAGTTGCTATTGGGCAACACACCTCTAGACTTCAACTTGTTGTGATATAAAGGTTTTCCATACCCACAAAACAAAACTTTTCGCGGGGTGGAGATAAAATCGGGCCACCAAACTGGAGGTCAATGGTGAAAGCACATCACAGGGTATCTGGGCCCCTAGGCAAACGATAGGACCCACCCTTGATTGAAACCCCGGTCACATTCCCAATTGGGCTTGGTCTTGAATGAATCTTGGACAAAGGAACTTCCATGCAAATTGAAGACTCGAGCCCAAGCAAACAAAGAATACCATCTACTTTTGCCGGGCCAATCGAGCGTGGGGGAGACCCCCGCCCGTCTCCCCACATAACTTGCCTGCAAGTTTGACAGGGAAAAGGCGGTCAGGGTCCGGCCAGGGTCTGGTTGTGGTCCCAAGGTTGGCTCAGATGGATCCCTAAGTCCTCCAGTAGAGAAGTTAGAATTCTGTAGTCTATTCTAGGGGAACCCTCCAAACCAAAAAGAAACGGTGAGAGAGGGCACCAATTGCTGGGGGACCTAGAAATCCTGAAAACCCCAGACTAGGCCCACGACCCTCCGAACTGCCGGAGGAGCTTGTACACCTCAGAGGCTTTCAACCACTAAACCACAATAAGCAAACATGTGAAAAATGTTTTCCCAACAACCACAAAGGCTGAGCCTTTGGGTCCCGAAACCCCGAAATGGATCCCGAAACGGATGGCGCGTGCCATGTTGCTCATACCTCTGCGGTCCAAAGGAAAAGCGTGAAAATCATCCTCAAAATCATCCAAGCAAAACGTGGCGGTTTAAAGGCAAAAGGAAACTCCAAAAGTTGTTGGGCAGTATAGAAGAAAGCCAACCCCCCAAAAAGGGTGATGAAACCTCCTTCAACTCTTCACTTGTAGAGCCCAGTGGAACTCAAGAAGACGAAAATCGGGCCTCTTGGGGCCTCATGAAATTCGTTGTCGGGAATCTATCTTGGCTGCGACGTTGTAAGATGAGCAAAATGTCCTCATGAGCCCAAGCTCTTGACCTTCACTTGCATTGTTCACAACTCCTTCCCAAAGAGAGGGGGTTCCGATTGCAGCCAAAAAGGTGACACGTTCAAGACCATGGTTACGGCGGGAGGCTTCCCACCCTGCTAAACACTTTGTGTGTGCTGCCGAGGTGCCTTTGAATCGGGAATCAACATCGGCAGTATTACAGGCCAGGGCTTATCCTGCGGACTTTTTGTGAACAACTCTATTGCCCCCGAGGCACGAAAATACACGATTCACTTGTGGCCACCGTGCTGACTACATACGGGCACCGAGGACAAACAATATCGGTTGGGCAAGACAACCAATCTACGCGGTCAAACAGATTTGTGGTACCTGCACTGAACATGCGGAAAGGAAAGAAAAACCGGCTGGTGCGGCAAATGAAGTCAAGTGAGTCCTAGCTGTCCCAAACCCCATTGACAAAAGACTGTCCTGAAATTTGACCGAACTTTACGATGCTCTGACCGTTTTGCAACGCCTTGAGGCTCCGGCAAAACTTAGCCAGAGAAGGGAGAGGAGGGTATTCATGATACCCGCGTCGAAGGTGATGAGGTTCCTAAACGAGCAAAGCGTGCGCTGCACTGCCGGCATGTAGCGCAGGCACTTTCTCGCAGAATGTCACCGCATGTTTGCTGGTTGCCGACCAAGACCTATGTCCTGCTTGAATATGCGATACACGACATGTGTGTGGGTGCCTACGTATACGGGGGTTGAGGTGGTTGCTCATTGTTCTGCATTGTTTGACATTGCAACGATGAACAATGAACAACGTAAGAACTGCCAAGCAAAGCACAAGGAAGCAGCTTTGATCCGTAGTCGGTTGTGCTTAATCAAAGCCTGTGGCCCTGTCAGTATATGTTGACGGTTCTTGCAAACATTCCCCCAAACAAAATGCAACGCCTGGCGCAAAGCTGCGAAACATACACAGTGAGAAACACGAGACATTTGGAGGCTGGAAGTTTCACCCAGGACAAATTCATCGACCTTCGAAATTTCAAAAAAAACACTGTGCAGTGATCTATCCCTCTGATCTATCCCAACGTGTTTGCGTGCTGCTTGGTATGTGGCGTCAAGGTACCTTTGAGCACTTGACGCATGGCGCGCACTTGGCTTCCTCTGCTTGGTCCGCACTCCGGGAGTTGAGGGCTGCAAGGATCTTAATCCCTGTGCCAAATACCGTCGGTTATTGTGTTTCCGACATGCTCATCGGTGATTCCTGTCCAGGCTGCTTAGCTTCAAACTTTGAACATGTTCTGCTCCTTCAGACACAGAGACTGGATAGTGGCTCTGGATCAATCGAAGGCTCCTCCAGGCTTTGCCTGTTTGCTTTGTGGTTTATTTGTGCAGGTGGAGCGCCCAGCCTACCTGCCATATTGTCCCTGAGGAAGTTTGGGAGCTCAGCACACAGTGCATGTGGGTTTGTCTCCAATGGGGGAGCGCAAAAATCAGTGATTTACCTCTGCTTTCTCCTATCCTCAAAAAACCACACACACACACCGACTCATATGAGCGACTCTATAATAAGCCTCCCATGAATCCCTATGTCGTATCAAGTTGCTTACACGCGAGCTTGCGCTTTCCTTACGCGACCCATGTTTTAGCTTGCGCGGCAGTCGTGTCAAGCTTACGCATGGCTTACGCGTGGGCGTTTTGAGCGTTTCCCCTCAAGAATTGCTTACGCGAGCTCCATTTCTCATGCAGCCGCCAGAACTGTTCAAGATGATGTGGATGACTCTGAAGATGACGAAGAACTACCCTCACGAGTTTCAACGGCTTGGCATTGTTGTTCTTGCTGCAAGTCCAGAAATGGGTTCTGCGGCAGCGGCATCCATCGTGAGGGCTAGCGGGCAGCCAAGCTAGGCGAGCTTGCGCGAACCTTACGCGCCTGCTTACGCGAGCCTACACACCCGAGCCCCTTTAGTTTTCCTAGATCAGCGGTTGCAGAAGCCTTTGTTTGTCCCAGTTCAGGTTGCAACAGCACCTAGCATGAGCCCCAAGAGCTCCCAATCAAGGTTCTGCTGATTTTGCTTTCTCACGGTGTGCGCATGCGGTCTTAGACGTCTTCCTGCAGCCAAAGTCTCTGGGCAAGCTGCCAAGTAGGTTCAATCAGCACAAGCCACCAATAAATCCATAAGCATAACTCTTCCGAGCATGCTTACAAAGCTTGCCAAGCAATCACAAAGAAGAGCTTACGCAGGTACTTACGCAGCATGTTTCCCCAAAAAGTGCTTACGCTGGCTTACGCCGCGCAGGGTTTTGCTTACGCGGGGCCTTATTATGACACAACTATTGCTTGGGATGTATCAGGGTGTTTTTTAGAGCTGCTCATATATTCAAATATGTCAAGATCTACACGGAGAGCTCCTCCACATGCACAATGGAAATGTCAAAGTGTTCGCCTTAACAAGGACTTTCTCAAAATGGGTGAGCCCCAAAAACGAGCAGGCGTCCTTTCGAACAACCTGAACAAGGAACGCTTCAAATAGGCGAACCCAAATGTAAGTTATGTTAAGTTAATTCTGACAGCAGCTACTGTGAACATGCTAAATCTCAGGCATACTCTTCTAGGTCCTCCAGTAGAGAGGTTAGAAGAAGGGTACCTTTGTTTTTTTTGGTCTAATTTTAGTAGGCCCTTAGACAAGAACCCTCCTCCCAAAAAGGGGTGAGAGGTCGGGCACCAACTGCTGGGGGACCCATTCGTCCTTCGTTCGCTTGACTTCAAGAAGCTGCGGACCTCAAGGTCAAAGGGCTACGTGACACATAACGTGGTGCGCCCACTCCAAAATGGGATCCCATTGGTTTTGACCAGTCAGTTGGAAACACACAGACATACGCAAGCGGAGATCTATGAGGAAGTTACGTGCTTGTCCAGTAAAACCTGTGGCTAGGGCAAACATATATTCATGGTCACACATTGTGGATAATTACATACATATTCTCTGCATATGCATACCTTGCCGCACAGCACATGTGTATTGTTTTGGCACGACTCTTCTCAGGTAACTCTTCATGATCCACTGGGGTGTGTTTTGGGCAACCCCAAGAAAATGTGATTTTCCTATTGGTTTCCCGTTAAACCCACCAAAAAAACAGGGGTGCCCTGAAAAAGGGACACGACCACTGCGTCCGAGCTCCGGGCCACACCAACTCCCAGAAGAAGCCCATGTAGTCTTCCAAACCGAGGCTGGTCAGCAAGCGCCCAATCTGGCGAAACATTGGCACAGGCGTTTTTTCAGATAGGTCTGTGTTCTTTCTTGCTGGTGCGAGGCGTTCAAGATAGGTCCTCCAGTAGAGAGGCTAGAATAAGGGTATCCTGTTTTCTGTTGTCTATTCTTGTAGGGGAACCCTCCCAACCAAAAAATGAACGGTAAAAGGGCACTACTGGGGACCTAATGAAGATAGGTCTGTTTTCTTTCTTGCTGCTGCTCATGGGGGAACGACCTTCAGGGATTTTGGGAATGAACCTAAGGTTGCCCTTAAAGAAAGCCATGGGATGGTTTATTTTGGGGTCATTCCCTCGTTTGCTGCTGAGAACCAGCGAAGCTTTCCCTGTCGGTGACTTCGAAGGTGCATGGAAAATGGGAATCCGAGGAACTTCCGTCAGCCAAGCGCCTGATGTCATTTCGAATCCCAGGGACGGGTTTCGGTTGCAAAAGTCTGCCCTCATGGGGGCCTGGGGGGAGGGAGGGGGAGGGAGCCCGAATAAGCCCTACATAAGCTCTTAAGGGCTCAAGGGCTTGTTTGGGCTCCACCCCCTCTGCCCCCCGGCCCTATGAAGCTCTCATACCCTCAAAGACTAGAGCCCTGACCCGAGCCTCCATTACCCTGGTCGGAGCCCCAACCCAAAAAATACATAAAAATGGCATTTCTAACATCAAACCCAAAAAATCAAACAGCATACAACAAAATCAGCAAAATTCACAGAAAACAAGATAAGAACCACCAAGCAACTCAAAAACCAGAACAACCCCCAACAAAATATTTAATCAAAGCATAAAACATTAAATAATTCAAACAAGCATACCAACAAAACAGCAAAAATAAAAACCATCAAAGAACACAAACTCAAAAACACACATCAACAAAAACAAAGCAACATACCAACAAAAAATATCAGAAGAGTATCAAACAAAATAAAATACAAACAGCCAAAGCACGAAAAAATCAAAAGAGCATGCCAAGTTCAAACAACGCACTTTGAAAGAGACAAGCAAATTCAAGGAAAAATAAAATATTTCAATCTTTACAAACCATAAGTACAGTATAATTATAACATATAAGATTTTACATGTTATTATTATAGTATGATTATAATTTCAGTACAGGATAATAATTTAATTGATTTGTCTTACTTCTTTCATACATCATTTTAAAAATAATATTAATATCTCTCAATGTATTTTGAATATTAAACTTTTTACTTTCAATAAATAATTTGATACTTTCTTTAACATCTTCTCCTTCTCTTGACTATATCCCAACATCCATAATATATCATAAATCATTTCATATTTTTTCTTACTGATTTTAAGAAACTGTTTAACATAATCATAAGGTGGTATTTTATTTACAGTTAGAAATATTAAAATCTCATCTTCTACATTTCTATTATGTCTTCCTTTTATTCTCAACAGACATTTGATTAAAAATTGATTATCTCTCCATTCCTGGCAATTTTCACATTCGACTTTTTCATCCATTGAATAATTAATAATATTATTCACTATTTCATTAG